AGTGACTTTCACACAGTACTATTTATTATGTTGTGTAAACAGGTTTCAAGTTTTGAGTGTTTGGATAAAATCCTATGATGTAACCATCCAAATGAAACCTCTTGAGCAGTACTTTCACCTATCACTATTTGTTTTTCAAAATTTAATGAAAATAAGTTTGAAATTTTCTTTTATGAAGTTTGTAGTCTCAGCCTTTTGAGAGGGAAAGAAATGCTACCTCCACTGACGCCTAGGTTTTTGTTTTTGTTTTTGTTTTTGTTTTTTTTCAGGTCCGCCTCAACAGAACGTGAAAACAGTTTCTGGAGGTCTAGGGACAATTAAGCGGAAGCGAGAGATTAGAGAGCTGCTTGAACAACAGGACATGAACTACGAGGATGATATCTTTGATGCAACACCTTTCAAAAAAAAGAAAGACCTCAAGGTCTGTTAAACTGCTATTCAGATGAAATCTTCTCAGCTCTTTTTCTCTCCTTTTCTCTCTCAGCCTTTCATTCTTCGACTTCCACTAATAAACTATTTCACAGGCATGACGTTAGTACCCTAGCCTTTGAGGGAACGTGAGGCTGATGATAAAAGCCTCTTTACTTTTCTAATGACAATTATGCTAAAAATACTAGTTAGGATGAGAACGACATGATTAACATTATAAAGGAGGAAGTGTTGCATCAAAACAAGGTTAACTCCAGCCTGGTGTAAGCCTGGTTTCCACCTGTAGCTGGAAAATAGACTGTAGGCCATTTTCGAGTTGCTTCAAGCCTCTGTTTCAAAGCTAGGCTAAGTGTAAAGCCATTGAAATGAAAATGATTTTTATTCTCAGACAAGTAAAACTAATTTTCACAGCAAAGAGTTTGCACTTAGCCTTATTTTAAAAGTGAGAGTTTTTTGAAACTCAGAAACGGCCTACTAGGGTCTATGTAATAAGACTTTTACAATTGTAATTTACAAGTGTTGCTGTTGCCTTAGAGTATGAAAGCAATATCCACAATTATAATGTACAATTGTCAAAGTTTTATTAAATTGGCCCCCTGGTAAGGCCTTCACGTGTCAGTGAGCATATACTCTATTTAAAATGTTTCAGCTCCCGTTTAACCTGAACAGTAACAGCAGTGATGAAGCTGGTGATGATGGCGATGAAGAGGAGGAAGAAAGCGAATCTGAGCGCGGCATATCCTACAAGACTCCTAGTAGCCGTACACCTAGCAGTCGATTCAGACCGTTGGGTCCGTTGTCGACTACAACCACCCCCAGCTCAGAGTTCATCAGCCCTAGTCTGTTACAGCAAGTCAACCGGTTTGTCTTTTTGTTCGTGCGTCTGTCTGTTTGGTTGTCTTAATTGCAGTTTAACTTGGCGCTAACCAGGCTGGTTACCCAGTGTTACAGAACTACAGAAGGAAGCAAAACTCTTCATTGACGAAGAGATGGATGTGAGGAAAAGCTTCGCGCTTCTCCTCTCTTTGTTACGTGCGCAGAAAGATTAGCTACGCATGCTGCATGCTGCGTGCTTTTAGGAATGTTTCATTCATTTCCAACTGACTGTCACAAAACCATAATTTCTTTCTGGCCGATCACAATAACTTAATATCGACAATCCAATAAACCAATCAGGGCTTAATTTAAATACTTGTAGCCGGCGTAAAAGGCGGGAAAATGTAACCAGCAAGACGGTAAAGACTGGTTTAAGTATTACTTGTGATTGGTTGAAAATTGGTTCAAAACATCTTACGCCAATCACTTATGTTAGGATCGTGTGGTGTAGGGTGGGGTAGGAACCATTACCATGGCCCTCACGAAATTACTTGCGCGATTCCTGTTCATGACACGATAGTACTAAAAATTTGTTAATGTCATTTCAGGAAGGACATGGATCATTACATCTATAGAATGCAACAAGGAAAGCGAGGAACACAAGCACATGCAAAGCCAAAAGCAAAGGTAGACTGAAACATTTCTAGTTTACAAGCGACGCTGTCATTTGCCCTTTGATTACTTATGGCAGCGCTGGTCTGCAGGGCGAAAATTCGCGGGCGCGATTTCCTAGACCGGACCAGTACTCAGGGTCAGTTTAGTAAAGATAGCGTCAAGATAGTGATCGCGTCGCATTATTTGTTCAGTAACGTTGATTTTTTTGGTGAAATCCGTTTGAAAAATCTCTTGATTTTAAAAGACTGAGATTTTGCCTTTTTTTCTTGTCGCAGATGAGGACATCAACGCCAAAGAAACCAGCGTTCTCCAGCAGCCATCTGCCCGTGGTAAACTCGGAGTTATTTGAAGCTCATCCCACTTCAGACCACGACTCAGCAGAGGAAGATAATGATTATTACTTCTCTGATGAATAGCAAACATTTGTTTAAAAAAAAACACTAGATATTCTCAAAAAGTCACTGAAGAACTTTAAAGCTAACGTTACCGTTTTGTTTACTGAAAGTTTCATAGGTTGACGACAGCGTGATAATTTATCACCTGCGCTGTAACTTAACTTAAGAGTTTTTCAGTGTTCAGTACTAGAAAGTTATCATAGCCGTTTCTTTAGGCTGCAAAGTGTTTAAAAACAAAAAGGACGGAAAGAGAAAAACCCCTATATGTTGGGTAAATGCAAGCATAGTTACTCCTGGCAAGTATCTTTCACATTCGCTCTTCTGTTCTGTGTAGACTCAGCATTATTTGAAAATGAAATTAAAAGAAGAATTTCGTTTTAACCAGGCCCAATTTCCGTGGAGCAAGGGTGAACAGCGGCCGGTAATCGAGTCTATTTTTGACCAGTTGCAAGTTCGCTCCTGTTCTCTGCTACCTTTATGTCAGTCCCTGGTCCCGGTCTCCCCTCTTCAGCTCTAACTTAATTTCCCAACTGATTTGCGCAATGGTTTAAAAGGTCCTTTTTTCAGTACCTTTTTTTATTCTGGGGGCTGATCGCCGTGTTTGTGTCAAAACGACAAAGTAAAGTTATGAAACAGCCATTCAACGATGTTTGTTGAAAACACAGTCTTACGCTGTCGGCGAAGTGCTGGTAGCGATAAGGGCTAAACAAATTATCTACCCCTTGATTTTTTATCTTCCGAGTTCTCACCGGCATTTTCTTTTTCACTCCAGTGTTCTTCAGTAGAGAAAATTTTCCAGAATTTTGTTTTGTTTTGTTGTCTTCTTGTTAATCGTGAAAAAAAGAATAGCGAAAATCGCAAAACAGGAGCGGCTCCTGCCTGTAAGCATTTAGTGCCATCTTTAAAAAAGCTTCTACTTCGAACCCATTTAAGCGCCTTCCTTTGAAGAAGCGCGCCACGAATTTTGTGTGAAGGCAAATTTTGAAGTATATCTCAACTAAGAAATTAAAATTCCCATTTTATGAGAAAATGCTTAGATTACTGGGAACATCGATCTGTAAATCTGAAGAAGACTGGACGGGCTAGCCGGAATATCGTTAAACGTTTAAAATGCACGTTGTTCAGCTTTGCTGTAGTCTTGGACTTCTTGTTTCTTTGTTTCAAATCTTTGTAGCTAATGAGATTTCGTTTGTGATTCAACGTTGACGACCAGCAGGATCTTGGTTCACGGTTTTTGCAGTTTATTTCTCTTGACCCTTTTCTGTACCGTTTTTGCCTGAAAAGGTACCCATTCGTATAACTATTGACAAATTTTCACTTGTCATACATAATTTCCACCAGCAAAGCAAGGCTGGGTTATTTAAAAAAGAAGTCAATTCCAGCCTAGTTTACCTACTCACTCAAGTGCTTGGGTACTAAGCGCAAACATGTATTAAAGAAGAGAAAATATCCCATGAAACCACATTTTATTAAACTTCTATGGTACATATCACCTTTAAACGGCAAAGACCGTGAAGTCACTACCACAAACAAAACTCAGTCTATAACACACTACAAGCAATGTTTGTCAATTTTTCTACAATTCTTTGACTTTACGTCACACTTAATCAATAAAACGTTGCACTGAGAATAAAAGTATTAGATAAACTGGCTCTGCATGGGCGGATCCAGAAAATGTCTTAAGAGGGGGTACACCACTAAGTAACTATCATTTTTACGGCGTTTAACATAAATCATTCAACCTCGTCTCAGTGTTTTACTTCAACACCAATAAACCAATAATATCAGTTGTATTATAAAGCCACAGGGGGGGGGGTGGCGGACCCCTGCACCCTCCCCCTAGATCCGCCCCTGTTCTGTCACTTCGATCACGAATGACTAGGGACCTTAAGCAACGACGACGACGACGGCAGTAAAAACGTCTCTAAAAAAATGAATTAGCGTGCTTTCAAACTTGATCGCGTCTATTTGTAGCCGCTCAGTATGTCAAATGCAGGCGACTTTTCCTGGAGTTGAATTCTAAAGGATTTTATTCAGGTTCAAAAAGAGGAAGGAAAATTTGTCATCGTATGTCAACGTCCTCCATAAAACGTCAAGTTAGGAGGTTTCACGTCGTAGTCGTGGAGTGGACGTCAAAGAAATGTACTAAAAAGCTGTTGTTTTGATCATTAAACCTATTGTTTTTTGAAGTTGTAGTCGTCGTCTTCACATTACGGATAGTTATAAACTGCGCTGCGTGACTAGCCTACAGAAATGGCGGATTCAGACCCTAGACCTTAAAGAAGGAGAGAGGCACTCTTATTAAGACCTTGCGATAATGGGGGTAGGGTAGGCGCTATGGGTCTCCTTTTGGTAGAAAATACTAGGCGGTGTCCCTGTACCCTTCCCTAGATCGATTCGGCACTTCACAGGGCATGTTCGTAATCCAAAAACGGACTTTCCATCTTAAAACTAACGGATTTCGTGTTCCTTTCAGCAAAATCGAGCTCCAGATTTTCGATCTGGGGAATCCTTGTTTAAAAACGGATTCGTTGGATTTGAAATCCGAAGAATCCAAATTCAGATTTACGGAATTTTGATATACGCTGTTCCTTTCACAATGGATCCGAAATTAGAATTAAAATCTAGGATCAATAATCCGTTTTTTGAATCGCCGGAAAGGAACACACTCTTTGGCTTCGCATTAATGTTTCAGAAAATTGAACACTCCAATAGAGGGCAGAAAGAAAGAATACAATAACTGTCACCTGGTTTTTGTGCTTTTGGGAGTTAAATCTTCTTTAAGGGCTTAAATTCAATTTTCCAACGAGTACCCTCCCCTTCTGGAATGGAAGCTCTACCCGGAAGTTGCACTTAGCATGTGGAATCTTGCAACTGACTTTTCTTGGAAGAACTATTTCAAAACAGTGAAAGCTTAGCTTCACCGCTACCTCCACGAACAACGGATCAGATATAGAACATAGAAAGTGACCGAGCTATAAAATAATGATGAAAATGCTCAAACTTGGTCTTGTTTATCGCTCCGAAAGTCCCTCAAACAGCGATTCAGTCGGCTTAGTAAGTTTTCGTATGATATGCATGCAAGAACTAAAACTCACTGTCAAAGTGAATCCAATCGCCACAGTGCGAAGGGCAGTTAGTTTTAAGTTGTTTAGGGATCCTTGAGAATTAAGTGCGTAGTAAAACACGGCAACGATGTCGCTTTCGATATAAGCACAAATCATACATACGCTGATGTAGAAAACATATCGCGTGACAAATTTGTGTTTGTTTACAGTGATTATGAAAAGCAAATTACTAACTGTGCAAATGGTGTTATATATTGCAAAATAAATGAAACTCCTCGGTGAGGCTGAATTAGAACAATATGGTACCACCACAGCTAAAACCAGCAAGTAAATGTTTGACGCAAACCACTCGCTTCGAATCAATTTTGAAAAGTTGGTGGGGACGACCCAAGTTGTACTGCAGGCGAATCTACTGTAAAGGAAAAAACAGAATATCCGAAAAGCTGACCACAAGAGAACAGCTACCAGTATGATTCCAGATATACCCCAACCCCCATTCTCAATGCCGCCTGGTATTTTGTACGTTTGCATTTCATCGAATCTAAAGAAAGAGAACCCACCAGGAGTAGATATACCAAGCGGAAGTGCTGCAATGATCAAAACCATATACAAAATACAAGCAAAGATAATGACAAAGCCTCTGCAACAATACTTTTTGATCTTAGCTACAAATCCTGTGCCGTGCCGTTGTCTTGTATGGCCAGTTTGCGCAGAGGTGCGAGGAATAATTTGCTCGTCATCTCCATGACTGTAATCAGTTTCATTTGTTTCTTCTGTGTGTTGATTGAACACCTCAGTTTCTGCAGTTTCACTGCTTTCTTCTGTAGTTCGAGGTCCAGTTTCGGCATCATTCTCGTTCTCATTCGCTCGCCTTTCAGACATCCAACAAAGTTTTCTTTTTCGTATTAACCATACCAATGTAATTGAAGGACCCACAAGTAACCAACAGTAGAGATATTCAAAGTATTTTTCCATCCTACTTAGGTCAGTCGTGTCCCCCGGCAGACTTAATACAATCTCGGTTAGGTCTGCCTCAATCAGTATATTCTCTTGCTGTATGTAAGGCCGGGAAACCAGCGTGCCAAGAGTAACAGGGATCATTACTTTTTGAGTGAATTGGATCCCAGTAAACACGTTATCTCCAACTAATATCAGCGCGAAGTATCCTGCTTTCTTTGCATTTACTGCTAAGTCTTGCAGTGTACATGGAGGTTTGAGATTCACAACTGTGACAAGGGCGATTTTGTGGACTTGTATTTTACTGCGCACATCATGGATCGGTTCACATCCATTCGTGAGGTTTGAATACACGGCTAGTCCCCTTAAACGCACTCCATCACTTCCCTGACAAAGTTGAATGACGGTCTCAAGTGACGGTGCCGAGTCAGGAAGAGCGACATCGCTGAGTTCGAACTGCACAGCTGTATTCAGTCCTCGAGGATGAAGTGTCAACGTTGCTTGTTGAAAAAACGGGCGTTCGGCTACACTGGGCACGACAAACGTAAAAATAGGTATGATTAGCGATGTAAGGAAAATGCAAAAAGACAGGCACATTAGAGTAACTAAAAGCCAATTTCTATACATGTTTCTTTGATGTACAGCACTGTGCGCAACTGATACTCCTGATTGATCAGGAATACAAATAAGCAAGTTTCATGTTCCCGAGCGGCCTAGGGCGAGTTCTTGTTTTCGTGCGAAAGCGAGGCTAATGCGGGGATCTTGGCAAGAAGACCACAGGTAGCGTAACCGTAACAGTCGAAATATAAGGAATTTTACGGGAATAAAACCTATCTTTTCTGTAGCCTATGAAAATGAAAGTATTTCAATTAAAAACAGCTTACCTTACTTAAAATGTGTGTTACGTCATTCCTGTGTGGTCCATAGCCGTTTTATGGGTTGTAATGTTGTAATGGTCTGCCTGAGAACTTTCAACTTTTTTCTTAGTTACTATCG